GGTTGAACTCCACTGAAATGTAACAATTGTCGAGTATTTTTTTAACAACGAACGAGACAAAAGGCACACGCGACACGTGTCCCCCGAGATTATTTGGGATTATTATTTCCAATTTGTGGAGTTATTAGGGAGTATTTGCGGATGTAATTTTTATAACGTTAGCGTCGAAAGCCTTACACATGCAGGGTGTCTATCATCTCAAGTGGGCCACCAGTGTCATTCACGAGATCATCGAGTTCGACAGGAAAACGAAAAAGGAAACCACTGAAAAATTGATACTTTCGATCGATTACCCAACCACTTCGGAATTATTTCAACAATGGCAGTGGCGATCCAATTCAAATGAACATCCCTTATAAATACCTTCACGTGGTGAATAATAATTACCATCAATGATTAATTGATTACGTATCCACGTTTCGCATGATCCCCACGATCCCGTAACCAACTATTCGATTGTACTCGAACACAGACAAATAATTAGCATACTAATTTGTACGTGATAAAGGGTAATAAGATAATATCTTTATTTATATCGGTACGAGTAACAGAGTGAACTGAGATCGTAAGTGGCATCTTAACGAACATCATATCTATGATTCATATCCGTAGGGCGTATAGTACCTATAGTACTATATATTTTAGAATGACCTACTAGACCTGACTTTCCTTAATTTACGTATTTTTTTAATTACCCGTACCGTAGGCAAGTAACGTACCTCATATGCCAACGAGACCACAATTATATAAATGTAATCCATGGTCGGTTAACTGCGAGGAATCAACCAATCCGGTTTCTTACGTTTCTCCTTTACTCTTCTTTTCTTTAATGGTCAAACAGTTTCTTCAATAGTTAACGAACGACTCGACTCTGACGATGGCGCATCAACGAGAGGAGATATTTCTTTTTCCAAGGAATCGACAATAATCGTTTCTGACAGATTGTAACTGTACATCATTTTCGAACAGCTCCTCGCAAAAACCGCCAACCATATGTTACTCTGTAATCACAATCTGTGTGCGAAATGGTGCAACTAGAAAGGTTTGATGCTCTTCGACGGATGGAATTTCTTCAAACCAAGAGTGTCGAAGCTTTCTTCTGGTACTATTACTCAATCATGAATGTCTTCTATTACAGAGTACAAATTCTAGTCACAACGCGTGGTTTATTGTCATTGAAATAGTAGCATATCCGCGAAATAAACAGGACAACACACACGTTAAATATACCTATTTAACAAATATTGTATATCATAAAACACTGCTCAATATAACGACTCTACAATAACTATGATAAAAGAACGTTGTTGTTTATAGAAGAAGAAGAAAAAAAAAAAGTATATTATGAAAATATGGTGAGAAAATGTGCTCAAATTGGATAATTATATATAGGCTTTGGAGAAACCAACATGTTGACAAATAAAACATACTATGCAAATAGCAGAGATGTTAATTATTTCCCTTCATTTCGTATTAAGCTTAGGCTTGTTTACATTAAAATCCATTTTAATTTACAGTCGATAAAAAAACATTACATGCAATTGATTGAAACAGTTTTTTCCCTTTTTTAGTAATTTGTATACCCTATGTGAATTTCACGACCAAAACAAGATATTGAAAGCCATAAGAAGACAACCCACTGCCACGTATGGACTTTTTCTCTCACCAATCCTGGCACACTTCCAAAGAGTACCTTGAAAACTAATCGTTTCGTATTAGTATCGATGCGGTTATAACATGTCTGTTAGAATCATCAAAGTATACGTACCCAACTTTTCCTAACCGGCTGTCCAACAAACTAGGCACGATGGATCTAACATAAGTACAGGTACATATCAATAACAAAATAACCGTCAGCAAGCTCTGAAAATTAAATAGGGCAGACTAGGTGTCCAACCCCGTAAATGAACTTTAGAAAAGATTGTTCGATCTAATGCGTTCTAGTGTAACTTTAAGGTTATGATAATAGTTAGCAGCTGTTCACAATCGTGCGTTCAATTATCCAGAATATAAATGGCAAATTTTAAAAATCCATCGTCTTACCATTACGACTTCCGAGTGATAATATATTGTTGCGCAAAATTGTTGTACAAAATTTGCATGAGCTCACGCACGCTTTGACGTACGAACATCAAAACTTTCTGCCATGACATAAGGTGAGTACGCAACGAGCGAAAAGAGAAACTATCGCTCGACGAACGAATATTTGAATATCCATTAAAGTTGATTTTATTTTGAATTCAGTCGATTTTTTGTTACAATTTGCGGAAGAAAAACTAACGTTTTTCGCGTAAGAATCAACAATGTATCTTGTACTAGATATCAACAATTTGCCATTACCGGAACATCAGCCATCTATATGAATCCATTGTCAATGGCGTGTTATTTGTAAAAGTACTTTCAAGAAGTTCAACGTACGGTAAGAGGTTCAACGTGCAAAGATATCATCGAGTTAGACGATAAATGAACAACCGTGGAGACATATCGCCGTCGACATTTCGAGACGTTTGAAAATCTTCGCACGGCAAATGAGACTCGCTGCCTCTCTACACTCGCTGCGATCAACGCGTGTGCATGGTAGTAAAATGGCTGCCGAGAAACGTCAATACATTTTGTATCAATAGCAGCTTACCTTTTGTAAATAACCGTGGCAAGGGGGATCGCAATAAAACGGATGCCGTTCAATTAACAGTTCTCGACTTTTTTTTTCGTAATCGTGTGCGTGTACGGGTGCATGTGAACCGGAAATGGCAGAATTCGTGCGTGGAGGACCGAGCGTGTCCAACAGTGCTAAGGTACGTACGCGTATTATTCATCGTCGATTATTCATCCGTTATCGTATGGTCGCCGAGAATGTGAACAACTCGATTTGAAAATTTCTAGCAATTTGCTCTCCGCGTCGCTACTTTTCGTAGATTCTCGATTATTTTTTTAGATATTTTCGATGGAAAGGTGCTTGCGATATTATTCGTAGATGATATTTTTGATAAGTTTTTACGTTTGTTCAAAGAGAAAAGAGCCGAGGATACAGGAATTATAAGCAGACATTCGTGCATGATACTTGTTGACAAAAATATATGTTGTGTTTTTTAGAGCAGCGTGATATATAACGTGATGCTATAGAAACAAAAACATTGTCGTGTTTGATTATAATTATCTACTTAATCCTAAATTAAAAAATCCCGTTAGTCCATTCTATTGAATTGCAATCGTTATTGAAAATTATTATTAACAATTTAAAATTATCAAGTGAAATTTATGCGCAAAGCGATGGAAATCCTTGCAAGTTTATCTATGAAATATTTAATGTTGTAAATATTTAAATTATGTTTATATAGATGGATCACAATAGCAAAGGAGGTTCCCCTAGCACTGGTAGTGAAGATGGTGGACAGAATGAGTCAATGAATGCGGAAAATGAATTTGATCCTTTCCTTGAAAATATACCAGACGATATTCAAGACACAGAGGAACATGATAGTGCTAATGCGACATTATTAACAGCTCCTCCAGAAAATCAGTAAGGCTTAACACTAAGAAGATTTTAATTATTTACAAAACTGTTTCCAATTACATCTACGGATGTAAAAGGAATATGCAATGATTAATACATGAATAATTTGCAGGTGGTATCACGGTAGATTAGATAGATTTACTGCAGAGGAAAGACTGTGGGACGCAAGTAAAATGGGTAGTTATTTAGTACGTGAGAGTGACAGAAAGCCTGGAAGTTACGTGTTGTCCTATTTGGGCAGAACTGGCATTAATCATTTTAGAATTACAGCTGTGTGTGGAGATTATTATATTGGTATGATAGACATGTAAATAAGATGGATAATTACAATTGCGATCAATCTTTGAGGTAATATGTGGGCATTTGATTATAGGAGGCAGACAGTTCAACAGCTTGTCAGATCTTGTCGCATATTATACTCACTGCTCTGATCTTCTAAAGAGAGAAAGACTTATACATCCTACTCCACCTCCTGAACCAGTGAATGATAAGAAACGAATAGTTGCGATACTGCCATACACGAAAATGCCTGACACGGATGAATTGAGTTTCCAAAAGGGTGACATATTTTTTGTGCATAATGATATGGGAGATGGTTGGTTATGGGTTACTGCTCATAGAACTGGTGAACAAGGTTTAATATTCCGTGAATTAGTAGAGGATTTGGATGATTCCATTGATCCTAATACTGTATTTTCCTGGTTTCATCCTAATGTTACTAAAAGTGAGGCTGTTGACATGTTGGTGAAGGCAGGACCTGGCAGTTTCTTGGTAAGTTGTAAGTTACTTCTTGTAACGATTGAAAATAATATGTTGTCTATTTCACGTTATTCAGGTCAGGCCTTCGGACAATAGTCCTGGAGATTATTCACTCTTTTTTCATATAAACAATCAAATTCAAAGATTTAGGATTGAAAAAAAAGGCGTACGTTATCTCATGGGCGGTAGAACTTTTGAATGTCTTGATGCTGTTATAAACAGGTATGTTATATTTTTTTTGGATCTTGAAATTTATAGTATACCAAAATATTGTTTCCAGATATCGGAAAGAACAAATAGTCGAAGGTCACACTTTAGTTCAAGCGATGGTAACTGAGCCTGACGGTAGCGTGAGGGTCAATAGAGAGGTGCAACACGCGGAAAAGATATACGCAACTCTTAGAGAATGCCGTGAACAATCTGGAGCAAAGAAAAACAAGGGAATTAAAATGCAAGGATATTTAGAAAAGAAATCAGAGAAGAATAAAAAATGGAAAGCATTGTATTTTGTACTTTTAGTAGATGCAACTGATACTCATTTATATTTGTATGACAATCCGAAGAGGACCAAACCTAAAGGTCTTATCGATTTAAGCTGTGCTTATTTATACCAGGTAGATCAAATTTTATAGACGGAACAAACTTCATTTTTCTATATAATCGTGTCAGTTTCCAGACCGTGTTATGTTTGAAATATATATGTTCTATGTATATAATTATACTAACACTGGAAGTTTACCTTGTGTGTGTATAAAAAAAAATTATTTGTTACGTAAGCGTTATAATAACCGAATTGTTGTCAATGTTCGTTTCTGAGATGTAGTTTTTTTAGGTTCACGAAAGCGTGTTCGATAGACCTCATTGCTTTCAATTAGTTGAACGTGCTTTACCATGTTTGGCCACGATAACATATTTGGCTGCTCCGAATTCCGAGAATGCTTTAGACTGGATTAATGCCTTGAAACCATTATGTGTATCACAACTTACTCGTGCGCCAAAGGTTGCTCGTCTTCGTGAATTACGTTCATTACATCTGCATATTTTAGACGCTCATAGACTTCCATATAAGCTAGTACCAAACCCATTCATAATAGTGGCTCTAAATAATGTAAAAGTTGCTCGCACAAAAGTTAAGACTGGATTACATCCAATTTGGGATGAAGAATTCATTTTAGAGTATGTATATGACTTGTCCTCTTAAATATTGATGCGTTTGACTAACATTTACCGTAAATTATCTTATAGGGATGTGCCACCGGATGTTATGTCGTTTTCCTTAACATTGTATAACAAGGGAAAACGTAGTAAAGATACGGAAGTGGCAGAATTAACAGTCGAATTGGCAAGTTTGACAAATGGCGAAGAAATGGATGAATGGTATCCATTGTCAGGACTCACTCCGATTGGCGAATGGGGCGTACTTCGTTTACGAATAAGGTAGAAATGTAAAAATATTTTTTAACATGTTGTATATTTAGAGTATCAATTGTTTCCGTAGAATTGTTATCTTTTACGTATTTGTCACGTTGCAGATATCGGCACGATTTAGCGATGCCTCCTGAAGAGTATAGTCCATTGCAACAGTTACTATTGGACCCAGAATTGCATGTTGTTAGGGCATTAGCAGATGTGTGTCATTTGGATAGAGTACCATTGGCAAATAGTTTACTTAGAATATTTAGGTATAAATAAAACTATACAATTTATTAAATATTTTTTCTTTCAATTAAGAAGATTATGTTCAATTAACAATGTATCTGTCTAGGCATGAAAGAAAAGAAGCAGATCTTTTGAGATCATTAAATCAAGCGGAAGTATGTGCATATATTTATAGTTCGTGGAAAGATGTCTTTTCTTCTCTTTTCCTTACTAAGGATGCGTATTGCTTTATTTAGGTGGACAAAGAAGATGAAACGCCAACACTTTTTAGAGCTGCTAGCCTTACGACTACTTTAATGGATTTATATATGAAGTCAGTTTGTACCTCTTTTTTGAAAGCCGCTTTACGCGACACCATAGTGAAATTAATTGAAAGTAAACAGAGCTGTGAACTAAATCCAACAAAAATGGATTCTCCGGAAGATGCATGCAGTAACGCGGAATTTTTACTGCAGGTGAGTGCAGATTAATAATGAAGTATGTCAAATGATTGTGCAACTTACAATCGATATTATTTTAGGTTTTAGACGAAGTGACATTAAGCATTTTTACAAGTCCCGATGCATGTCCAAGAACCTTGAGATATATTTGTGGATGTTTGCAAAGAGCAGTTGTTGCCAAGTGGCCACATGAAAGACTAGTCAGAACGCGAGTAGTCAGTGGATTTATATTTTTACGCCTACTTTGCCCTGCCATATTAAATCCTAGGTCATTTAATTTAATAGCTGAACCACCACCTCCAGCTGCTGCAAGGTAGGGTAGGTCTATATTAAACGTAAGAAATTTCGTAATTGAATAAATTGCTTGTTAATCTCATTAAATAATTTTGTAGATCGCTAGTAATGGTTGCGAAATGTTTACAAAATCTGGCTAATTTGGTAGAATTTGGCGGAAAAGAACCATATATGGAGGTAGTTAATCCATTTATTCTTAAAAACAAAGAAAGAATGGTTGTTTTTCTGGATCAGTTGTCTGTAAGTAGCATGCATTTTAATGTCGTCTATGATATACTTATCAGTTAAACTTGAATTCAAAATCATCTGAATTTGTGTTATAGAACGTAACTGAAAAACCAGAATCTGAAGGTACAGATCCAAGAAATAGAAGTTGCGTTTCGGATACGGCAAGAGATTTGGCCACTTTGCACCATATTTGTGTTTCTCATTTAAAAGAACTTCAAGTTTTATCAAAAACTCAGGTACGTTTAAAAATTTACATGCTTGGATGCGTTACAATCATATGTACAATCAAATATTCCTTTGTAAATGAATATTTATTTTTTCTAGCCAACAATAAAGCAATTAGTAACCGTGACTGAAATGTTAAGTAAACACAAACAAAAATATATGGAAATGATACGGTAGTGCTAAAGCCATTCGCCATGAATAATGCCAAACGTAACAAAACAATTTATAAGATTTGATGACAGATACACGGTAGTATTTAATAATTACTCTTAAGTGGTTTAAGTAATTAAACGTACAGACTGACGTGCCATATATATATATATTAGTGTGTATGGTATATATGTATATATGTGTATGTATGTGTATATATACATATATATACATACATGCACATACATACATACATACATATACGCATATATTCATACATATATACATATGTGTGTATATATATATATATATGTATATTACTGTATACACACAAGCCTATATTTACCGTTTCGTATGTAATTAGAAGATAGCTTATACGTATAGTAAACAGTACCATGACAGTGATATACTGATAGTTACATACAAAATTATATAGGCGTATAACGATTTTATATTTACCTAGGTGCTCGAAAATAAATGCAAATTAAACCAAAAAAAATTGTGTTCTACATATAGTTTCCCAATTTCTTAAAATAAAAAAATACTAACTTGATTGATTTTCTAATAAATAATAATAAATAATGATAATTTTGAAACAGATTAAAAAACTGCATTCTTCAAATGTATAAATGACTTTTTATTAATTTTAATTGTTTTATAAGCTAATTATTACATTCATATCGTTGCAATAGTTTTACCGCCATTAAATGACGAATATCGTGTTAAATTTAAGATCCTAGTCAGTTAATACAAAAGTTTTTAGAAAATCTGTTAACAAAAATATATATTAAATATCAAGTTATAAAACTAAGATGTATATGCACAATAACATTTGATACATTAAAATGTGTGTTCTAATATTGGATAATGTATAAATGGTGGTACTATGTTACGATTATGAAGTATATGTTTTTTGAATAAAGCTATTTTAAATAATGCATTAAATATATCGAATTGTTACAAATTTACTTTCCGCTCTGACTTTAAATGTGAACTACTATTATGAACATTGGAATTCAATCGTATGTCCTTTTACATTCTTTTACATTTGCATCCTATACATGCTATTGAATCAGATTATTTTAATATGTTTATTAAATAAAAAAAGAAACATTGCTTTTTATAATTTGTACTTATTATGTATGCTATGATATTATTTTATTGGGTAATACGTTTCGAATAAAAGAATAAAAAAAAAATGTTAAACAGTGAGTTTACGCGTTTGATTTTTTTTTCAACACGTGTGAGCATTAAAGTTAACATTAAATATACTACACATGATAAAGACGCATAAATTTTGATTTAAAAATTTAATTTTTCAATATTTTAGTACCGTTTGATTTGAATAACGTCATTTATATATATGTATATATATATA